CCTGCATCTGCACAGAGTCCCTCTTGCTCCAGGCTGGGAAGGACAATTGCTTCACCTGGGGCTGTGACAGTCTGGTACTGAGGGGCCCTGTAGGGCTCTGCTCAATGCTCAAAAGGTCAGGCAAAAATATAAAGCACACAGGAGGGAGGAAAGGGTCAGCAAATCCCAGATTTGCAGGTCTTACAGCTGCCATAGCTATTAATCACCAAAAGAGAGGTGAGGGTTGAAGCTGATGGTATCTACTCAATAGGATATGGATCAACAACATCCTCCTTCCCTGAGCCCTTCAGCTTGCAGAAGGATGATGGAAAAGCAAAACCAAACTGACAGCAGTCTTCAGGATTGCTCTAGAGTCCATGGATTCTCATGCTCAGGAAATGGAAATACTGCTTAGGAACCACTTCTCCATTAACCTACTGTCTACAGCAGTGTAAGGAACTGCACTTGGTTTTCCAGCATAAGGAAGGCAAGGACACGCTGGAGAGAGTCCAGCAATGGGCCATGAGGATGATTAAGAGTCTGGAGCATCTGTCATACAAAGACAGGCTGAAAGAACTGGGACTGTTTAGCATCAAGACATGAAGGCTTGAGAGGGATGTTATCAATGTGAATAAAAATCTGTGTGTGGGACAGTAAAAAAATGATATAGACTGTTCTCAGTGATACCCAGGAAAAGGATGAGCTGCAATGGACACAGATTTAAACAGGGAAACTCCCTTGAAAGTGACACAAATTCCTTTAAAGGACACAAGAAAAGACTGTGAGGGTAGTTAGACACTGGAATACACTGTCCAGAACAGTGTATCCACCCTTGCACACACTGAAAACCCAACAGACACAGCCAGGCAAGCCAGACTAGCTGATCTCCAAAGGTCCTTTCCAACCCAGTGATTCTGTGATTAAAACCACAGCAGCCTCCTCAACTGCTCCCAACCAGCCCAGCCTCAGGGAACCCATCTGGAACCCCCCCACAAAGCCAATACCCTCCCTTTCTCCCTTTGCTCTCTGCTCTTCATCAGTTTTTGGTTTATGCTCCCTCTTTCCTCCCTGACAGCAGCATCCTCTCCAGAGCTCACAGAGACATGCCATTTCTGGCTTGTCCCTACCATGAGATCCTCCAGCTCTCACTGCTTCCATCACTGCCTTGAGCAGGATGCTTTCCTGTCATCCCTGTTTTCCTCTAACCCTCCACTGTGGGCTTGCAGCAGCCACAGGAGCAGGAAAGAAAACAATGCCAGATGTCTATCTCTTTACCTCTCTGTGTCTCTCTTGCCCCATATTTACCACATTTTTGGTCCTTTCCTTGATCTTCTGTGATGAATTAATTGAAAAGACATTTTTGCTAGCAAAAGAACACAGGAGGCAGCAAAGGCAACAGTCCCTCAGGAGCACCCATCTCTTTGTTTCCTGGGGCTTTGTTTCCTGGAAGCCACGTTCCAGAAAAGGCTCCAGAGAGAGCACCAGTAGTTGCTGGGGTAAACTGGGCACAGAGAAATGAGGGCAGGACAGAGGGAGAGAGCAACATCTTCCTCTTCAAACAATGTGTGGTAAAGTTCATCTGAGGACAGAGCACTGAACCTTGCTGAGCTCTGCAGGCCAGGGCCACCCAAAGCCCATGGAAGGGCTGGCTGGTACAGGAAGGGGACTGATGTCCATGGCCCCACCTGGACAGGCACTGTCACCACCTCCCTGACACCAGTTCCCATGTCAGTGTGGCTGGGCAGAGACTCAGATCAGAGAACAGAGAAGGACAGAATTCCTGTTGTGGTGTCTTTCAGTTAGATCAGGTCCCTGAGCACACTGCACACAAGGGATAAGCTACCTATAGAGAAGGGAAAGGCTACCTGAACAGAGAGACAGAGCCATGAGAGACAGACACACACAGAGCTTCCTTCTCACACATCTACCCTGATGTGTGCCAAGTACCTGTGGTCCCATGGATTTGGTTCATTGGCTCTCATTTGATGTATTTTTTAACTCCAGCTCATAGTCCTTATTAGGTACCATCTCTGGAGAAAAGGAAAACATGATCTAGAGTGAACACAATCAGCCCTTGCCATTTTTCTTTTCCTTTCTTCCTTTCTTCTTTTCTTCCTTTCTTTCTTTCTTTGCCCAAAAAAAAGGGGGCCAGGCTGTGTGGACAAGTAGTCTCCACCTAAGCTATCAGTGATACACAAGCCAAGGGTCAGAAAAGCACATTTTGGGGCTGTGGGCACTGATCTGAGCATGGTGAAACTTGCTCAAACTTAAGCAGAGAAACAAGAGTTTCTGACAGGAAAGCAAAATTTTGGTATTTTGATGCAGTTCCCCACTGCCTCTGCTGAGCAGAATCTTCCACATCTCATGATACATTTTTCCTCAAGCAACTCCCAGATTCCTAGATGTGTAAACATTTAGCAATTTGTGAAACCACAAACATTCACGTTTCTCAATAAATGATTTTGTAGGTGGCGAAACTGACAAACAATAGGACTCTCAATTCTGAAACTAACGAAAGAAATCCCAAGTGTGTCAGTTGCACGGGAAAGTCCACGACCTCACTCCCGTAGCACTACGTGGGCAAGTCTTACTTCTACTTTCCTATCTTTCCAGGAAAAAGAATAAGAAACAGGAAATCAATGGAAGCATCATGGATTTGGACAAGAGAAATGAAAAGTCAGCACCAGATTTGTGGGCAAAATGTCCTTTTGCACAGAATCTTTTGCTCACAGAGCATTGCTCCAGATGCAGCTGGTGGGCAGGTTTTGCTCAGGACTCTGCTTCCTGCTTCTCTGGATTCCCTGGGAGGTGTGCATGGAAAACTGGGGATGGGCATTGCCTGCCTTGCATATAAGCAAAGCAGGCTGGCTGATTCCCCTCGGAAGGGGAGGACAAGCAGAGGCTGACCTGAGAAATGAGCTGTGAATGGCTTCAGCCCAGTCAATGAAGAGAAATGCTTCCCAACACCACTGCCATGCCCACAGCCTCGGAGTAAGTTCCAAATGACAACAGGGCATGGCCAGCAAGGAGAGGACTGATGGGATCATGGCAAATTCCTGCTTTAGTGCACGAGATGTTTCAGAATTCACACGCAGAAATTGTGAAGGAACTCTTCATGGACATATTTTTTACCCTCACATGGAGTCTTGTTTGCACGGACTGAAAGCCATAAACACATTCAGGCACAAGCAGTCCCGAGGTGGGAATCCAACTGTCATCCCAGCTGTCAGGGCCCTGAAAATGAATGAAGCTGACAGAACTTTTCAGTATCCTACAGGAAGTCCATGGGTCTGCACAAGCAGTCTTAACCCTGAGCCATGCCACAGGTGGGGCAGTGAGGTTCTGCAGCTGGCTGGGGAACTCCTGGAACAGAGGGAGAGAAGAGATGGCTCCAGGGAGAATTTAGAGAATCTTCCACTACCTACAGGTACTGGGGAAGGACATTGGAGAGGGGCTTGGAGTGAAGGGGGAATGGCTTCAAGCTGAAGAAGGGCAGATTTACATTAGACATTAGGAAGAAATTCTCCTTTGCAAGGGTGGTGATGCCCAGAAAACCTGTGGCTTCTTCTGGAAGTGTCGAAGGCCACGTTGGACGGGACTTGGAGCAGCCTGGTCTAGTGGAAGGTGATGCTCATGTGAGAGTGGGTGTAATGGGACGATCTTTAAGGTCCCTTCCAACCCAACTCATTCTGTGATTCCATCATTCTAGACCTGAATCACCTCTTCCACAGCATAAAGGCATCACATGTTCAGTGAAAGGAAATGAGAATTGCCCAGCATCCGACCTTTGTGAGGGACGGGCAGGGGCTGCATCACCGCAGCCTCTGACTCCTGCTGCTGTTCAGCCACTGTGAAAAGCCAAGCGTCCGGAGCGCCCGCAGCTCGTCACACACCTCAGCTCTGCTCTCCATGGCTACAGCCACAAGCACCGAACGCTCCGGCTGCCGGAGCGAGGCCGGGCAAGCGGATTCCTACAGCACCCGGCAGCC